GCCTGTATAAATCTGATGTTGGGGCTGGGGAGGACACTGCGAGATTTGGGAGAGTGAAATGCCCCCTCTTGGTCCTGGATTGCAATAAATGTGACTCTTTAATTCGACTTCTTGAGGGGTCCTTCTGTGATTCACGGGGTACATTACAACATTATACTCCCCTAAAATTCCTGTTTCAGTCCCCCCTCCTATTAGGAAACCCCAACTGCCGTTGGGGACAGGGGACGCCACATCTTTCTGACTGGTTCCCGCTTCCTGCTGGCAAAAGTGTTGTAGTTTGGGGCAGCAGTCAGGGTCCCATTAGAAGTGGGTGGTCTAAGGATCCACGGAAGATGGATGTAGCGGCCTCCATTTGCTGTTCCATGTGGAGGACCAGTTGTATCTTTAGGGCTTCTAAATGGGAAGATATGAAAATCCCAAAGGTTAAACAAGCAATGGTTAAAGATGAGTAATAAAAATCAGTGTAAACCAAGGTCTGAGAAGGGGGGCTAGCTAATAGGGATGACATTATATCTTTAATTGGTGCCCAGACTTCTGGGGCTGTCTCTTCCGAAAAGAGCTGTAGGGCTCTCTGATATGATTAGGAAGGCATGGGAGAAGAACAGCTCACCCCAGTTATACCCTAGAGGTCGAGAAAAAATCTCTTTATTGGCCTTCCAGACACACCTAAAATGGTTATTGCCTTTGATGATTAACTGACCAGGCTTAGAGATAAGTACAGAGAAAGTGGCTCCCGTGTCGAGGAGGGAATTAATTTCCTTGCCCCCCACTGTTAGACTTACCCTGGGCTCCTAGATGGAAATAATGACAATCTTGTGAGGGGCTGGGTTGGGAGACCCTGGGCCCTGTCAGTCCTGTTGTGCCAGCTGGGTCGCAAGCCCTGACCCAAGAGACCTCCATCTCCGGGGACAGTCCAACTTCCATTGGTTTCCTTGAAAGCCAGGACAGGGCTTCAGGGGTCTACTATGCCTCTTGGGGCAATTCCAGTGCATATGTCCAAGTTGGCAAGTGAACAGGACTGACCATTTGCCTCCGGGCTCTGACTGGGGGCTCCTGCTCTCCCTAAGCCTGGCATAAAGAGCCTCCATCTTGGCGTGGCTTCTCCTGTCTTTTCTATCTTCTTCCTCCTGCTCTCTATTATACAACACAGAGGTGGCGACTTTCAAGAGATCGTCTAAAGTGCTCTCAGGGCCAATGGCCAATTTCTGCAATTTCCTCCTGATGTCTGGGGCTGATTGAATAATGAATTTGTCCTTTAAAATCAACAGTCTCTCTACTGAACCTGGGGTTAGATTGGTGTGCTTCACCAATGCCTCTCTAAGTCTCTCTAAAAATGAGGAGAGATTCTCATTAGCCTCCTGGCTGATGGTAGTTAGATTGGAGTAATTAATAAGCTTAGCCTTGCTTCTCCTGAGGCCTCCTACTATGCAGGCCTGACAGTGTCTTATTTTCCACATCTCGACATCAGGCTCCCACCTTGGGTCTGCACTAGGAACTGCCTCAGACCCTGTCAAGTATCTTTCTTTCTCATTGGGGTTTGTAATGTCTTGTACACAGGAGATGTAATAACTATTGCCAAAGTCTGAAGCTTCTGCTAAAACTTTTTCTTTCTCTGTGTGGGACAAGGTTTGCTTTAGAAGGTTCATTAAGTCCCCGCAAGATGCATCAAATACTTGACTGATTTTCTGAAAGGCCTCAATATAATTATCAGGATTATCGGAGAATCTCCCCAGGTCTTTCTTTATCTGGCTCAGGTCTTTAAGGCTGAAAAGGACCTGAACTCTGATGCTCGCAAATTCGCCGTTCCCCCCCCCCCCCCCGCCCCCCCGCTCCCGCTCTTTCAGGGGGAAGAGACTGTCCGGTCACCCCCATGGAGGGAGGGCCCTGGACGTCCGCCTTTCCGCTGGCAGAGGCATTTTCCCTGGACGCCCAGGGTGAGGGTGGCAAAACACTTCACCTGGGGCTTCAGATGGAGGGTAAGAGGGCTTTGGTGGCATTGGAGCCTTTTCCTCTGGCAGGTTTTGGGCTTCTATTGCCAGGAGGGAGGGATCAAGTTTGCAGTTCTTGTGCAAGTCTGGCTTGCCTCTTAGGGCAAAGAAAGTTCGGACATATGGAACTTCTGACCATTTTTCTTCCTTCCTACAGAAAAGATCTAATTGTAGGAATGATGTTATACTTGAGGCTTTCCTCTGAGGGCAAACTCTCCCAGTTAGCTAGTTGGTATTGGGGCCAAACCTGATGCAGAAAAAAATCAGGTGCTTTTTCTTTAAGGTTTGTGGGTCAAACTCATTCTTGAGAATACATTTCAGTGGACTATCTTTAGGTAGTGTAGAGAACACACTTCCCATGGTTCAACGTGAAGAGGTTTGAATTACGGAGAAATTCCTGGCTGATGCATCATTTTGAAATGGAATTTTTGGACTGGAACCCAGATTCTTTGTCCACCAGAGTCAAAGAATGAATCCACAGACAGAAAGTAGTATAGCAAAGGTGGAGGTTTATTGAAGAACAACTACGGACTCCCACGTGGGGAGAGGGAAAGAGTCCCACAGAATGGACTCCCACGTGGGGAGGGGGAAAAGGGTCCCCTCCCATGTTTTTTATGTTAATTTTTAGAACCATGCTTCTTCCTCTCCTTAGTGTGCCTTTTAGAGGATGAAGCTAGAAACCTCTCTAGTTCACCACCTTATAAGAATATACAGCCATTCATCCATATATTCAATAAATATTTATGGAATGCCTATTATGTTCCAGGCACTGTGCTCTATGCTGAGGATAACAGAAGTGAACAAAACAGACTGAAATTCCTGTCCTCCTGGGGCTTCCACTAGTGGAGGTAGACAGAAAACAAACCAAGTAAAGTCTAGTGCATATCTGATGGTGATAAGTGATGTGGGTGATAGTGATAATGGTATAACTTAAAATAGGACACTAAAGGAAGACATTAACATCCAGTAGATGATAATGAGTAGAAAGTGTGAGGAGGTGATGGAGTGAGCCCCACAAATATCTGAGGGCAGTTTTCCAAGCAAGAAGAATCACAAAAGCAACACTCAAAGCAGGAAATTAATTGGTGACTTGAAAAACAGCAAGGAGGCCACTGGCCTGAGCAAAGGGACCAGTGGGAAAGGCAAAACAGAAGAGTGCAGAAGGGACTACCATGTAGGGACAGTGCACAGACTTTACATTTTCTCTGAGTGAGATGGGAAGACACTACTGATTTTTAGTTTAAAAAACTGGCATAATGCATGTGTTACATGCTATTGAATCAGGTCCAAGTCCTGGCGACCCTATGAATGGGTGATTCCACAATGTTCTGTCCTCAACAGCCCTGATCAGCTCCTGCCGACTCATGCTTATGGCTTCTTTTATGGAATCATCCATCTCATATTAGGTCTTTCTCTTTTCCTGATGCCTTCTATTTTTTCCAACATTACTTTCCCAAGAACCCTGTTTTCTCATGATGTGCTCAAAGTGAGACAGCTTTAGTTTTGTCATTTTTTGCCTCCAGGGATGTTTCCGGTTTAATTTGCTCTAAAACCCACTGGTTTATCTTTTTGGTGGACCAGGGTATCCATAGATCTCTCCTCTAACACCACCTTTCAAGTGAATCAATTTTTTTTTAATCATCCCTTTATACTAGCCCAACTTCCGCATCCACAGGTAGTAATTGGGAATTTGAGGATGTGGATGATCTTATCCTTAGTCTGTAATGAAACATATTTACTCTTGATGATCTTTCCTAATTCTTCCACTGTTGTTCCTCTGAGTCTCAATCTTCTCATGAATATTTTTATCCAGGCGTAATGATGTAAAGAATCATTTCAATTAGTATATTGAAACTAGAGCTGGGACAGGGAGGTCGAGGGGGGGCGGGGGGGACAAGGATACTTGAGAGGAGACCAATTAAGAAACTATTGCAATAATCCATGTGTGGTATGCTTGTGGCTTTTATTATAGGTATTGAGAAAGAGTCAAATTCTAGATCTATTTTGAAGGTAGAGCCAACAAACTTTGCTCATAGATTAAAGGTAGGGGCGATATGGAAGAGAACCAGAGATGACTCTAAGGCTTGTGGCTTGGGAAAGGAGAAGAATTGACAAGATGGAGGGAAACACACATTTGGGATAGAGAAGAGTTCAGTTTGGAATGTGCTAAGTTTGTGTTCTTTCTGCATGGTCACCATGGAGCTGTGAGGAAGGAAGCTGGCACATGAACCTGGAAATTAAGAAAAAAATCCAGGCTGGAGATATAAATGTGTGTTGTAAACACATATTAATGTGTTGGTGTTACTGCACTGTCTAGATGAGATCATCCAGAGAGGGAGTTTAGATTCAGGAAAGGCTGCTCTGAGACGCTCTAATACTTAGAGGTCAAAGAATTCCAGAAATTGCAGTGAAGAAGACTCAGGAGGTGCAGCCATGAGATTGGAGGGAAATGCAAAGCCAAGTAGAAAAATGTTTCAAGGGAAAGGGAATGATCAATTCTGTCAGGTTGTACTGAGAGAACTCAAGTCAGCTAGAGACTGAGCAGTAACTACTGGATTTTACAGCATGAAGGTCATTGGTAACCTTGATAAGATGTTACCTTGAATCTTTATTTGTTTGCCTGACTTGTTTTTTCAAAGAAGTAAAAACTATTTAAAATCTCCAATGCAATTACTATTGCATTGATGTCAATTTGTCCTTGTGTTTCCTTTTTTCTTTTCTTTATATATTTCACTGAAACATAGTTTGGCTCATAAAATTTTCCCAATATTTTTATTATAACTGAACTTCCTTCTTAACAAAAAAAAAATGTATTTTTTTATTTAATGCTTTCAAATTGAATTCTACTTATCTTGTTGTGATCTCTAAATTAATACCTTTCAGAATTACAACAAAATCAGATGAAGTCCAGAGATGTTGCAACAGGAATGAAAGAAAAATGTAAAGTACTATTTAAAGAAATCATCTTTAGGTTTTCATAAATAAGCAAGTAGGAAAAAGGAGACATTTGAAGATACTTTATTTTGATGATAAGGAAATCTCACATAAAAGTCTTCATTATTTTATTAATTCATAAAAAGTACTAAAGTCATTTAGAATTAGAAAGTTCACACCAAACCATAAAGACATATTTTGTCTTCTCTTCACCCTGTAATGTGAACAAAAATATATTAAGTATTAATTAAATGAGTAAGTACAGAAGGTAACTGGTTCTATTATTTGATATCAGAGAAATATTAGATAAATAGGAAGTTCTGATGGCAGTCCTTGAGGCCTCTGAATCAACCTCAACAAATTTTGAGTTAGTTGAGTCACTAATTAACATTTTAGGCATAATTTTGTTTCAGTATCTTTAAAATAAAGATTTTTTTTATTGAATTGCATTTCTTTGGTAGGAAGAGCATTTAATGGTAGTTGTTAGGATGTACTTCACTATAGAGTGATATTTGGTGAATATCAACAGTATTTAGCTTTGTCTGAACGTTTTGTTACCTGAGATAATTTAAACTCCCAAAGCAGCACGAGTTTTTGAAATCAGTTTTGGACCCTGCAAATTAAGAACAAATAAGAATCATTAGATCAGCGGTTCTCAACCTGTGGGTCGCGACCCCTTTGGGGGTCGAACGACCCTTTCACAGGGGTTGTCGAAGACCATCGGAAAACACATATATAATTACATATTGTTTTTGTGATTAATCACTATGCTTTAATTATGTTCAATTTGTAACAATGAAATTGGGGGTCACCACAACATGAGGAACTATATTAAAGGGTCACGGCATTAGGAAGGTTGAGAACCATTGCATTAGATAAAGAAATTAGTTACTGTTCTAGTCATACAGTTAATTCCCCACTATCCAAGGGTGATCTTGCAAGTTTATAGATGAACCAAGTTAAAAATAAAGATATACATTTCTGATGCCAACAAGCTGGGACAATGGCAGCCAGAGAGAGAGAAAAATCCATTCAGATCAATAGTAGATTTTGTTTTTCCTACACTAATCTCTGTACACACTCAAGCACATTTAATTATATTATCTATTGAAAAGCTCAAGATTTCTAAGTATTATATAGCTTTGGAATTTATATTAAAAAATCTAAACTTTTACACTAGGAAATAGACAAAATTGGCAAAAAGGCTAAATTATACAATATATTTTTTAATGTAGTGATGTTATATTTAAATGTTTAATAATATAAAATAAAGACTTACAAAATGTAGCCAGTTACAAATACAGCTAAAATTGTTAAATAATTAGATTAAGATAATTCCTAACTACTACTCTGTTGATACTCAAAGCTATGCTTCCTAAGGAGTTCAGATATATTTTCTGTAAATATTCCCCCAGGATCCTGTTTGCACATTTTATTTGCCAATAATCCATTTAACATATTCATCTGAACAGATAAATTTTAGGTCAGAAACTGTCTAAATTATCATCAATCAGTTATATATTCAATTTATTATTTTATCTACTAGGAAATAAATCAAAATTAGTAATTTTCTTAATATATTTAAAATCATACTACTTCCTAACATTTGGTGAGAAAACTGTGATTATTTTTTAAATGTCACATAATTCTTCAGTCTATTTCTAGATGACATTTACATCTCTCTGGCATTATTTTTAAGGTATAGATCAGTGGGGTGTTCTTTTCACTATTCATTGCAGAAAATCCTGTACCAAGTCTTCTGAGTGTGAAAATGAGCTGCACATACCTCTTCTGCAAAGCAGACTTCCTGTTCTTGACCTTGGCAGCACTTCTCCAGTAGGCCAGAGAAATCTGCAATGACAGCTTCAAGTTGTTCCTCTGATATTTGTGGCTTTTGCTTCACAAGGTTAATGAGAAACCTATGATTTAAAACAAAACAAAATACGAGAGAAGTCTGTTATGCAATGATATTTTTCTAAAATTTTCCTCGTAGAGAATATTCAGAGTCTTGGCAAACCTCACCATAAACCCTCTTTCCATCAGCCCGTAACCAGACTTAACTCACTTGTCTAATACTTTCATTAGAAAGACATCTAGAAACATGCCAAGTGTTCCACTGGTCTGCATTTGTGCAGATGATAGAGGAAACATTATTTAATAGTTTTACCACACTTACATGTAGTGAAATACAGTCTATTTCTTAATTATCCAGAATATTGTTTCCGATTCTCTCTTCTCAAAGGCCCAGATTTCCCAACACCTGCCATTCATAATTATGACACCCTTACCTGTGCACTAGCAATACTAACTGCCTGCTCTACTCATTGAGCAGTGCTTTCATGTTGGAATTAATGTTGGATGGAGCAAGAGGAAAGGCCTGCCAGAAGAGATAGCATTCTTACTGTACCTTGCAACATGCCCCAGATTTCAACAGAGAAAAAAGGGAAGACCAGGTTTTCCAAAATGAAGGAAGACCATTTACAAAACAGGCGAGTATTAAAATGCATGGGGATTTGGAGACCATGTGTTTCATTGACTTGCATTACCATTACAGAATGCCTCCCACAATTAATTGAAACGTGCACTCCATTTCTAAACACCCACACTTCATGGCTGAATTAAATATAGTTATTCTTTTCAAAGAGTAAATTATGTGAAAAAAGATTCAGTGGTGGTGTTTTGGAATGAAAGTACCCAGACTTATTGTAAAGGTATATCCTAATTCCATAAAATAAATTGCCCATTTTCCTCAGTCCCAAAATAACATTACCACAATAGTGCCAGTAGAGACTGCTTTGACAAACAGGGAATTGTCTGCCTTACTGAGTTTTTCCAGCTCTACATCCCAGTGAGGCTGTGAAGTCACTGAGAGAAGACTATTTTGAAAGCCACTTTCAGTGCTTTGGAGTAATACTGTTCTCCTGAGGAGCCCAAGAGTGTTGGGTGTGTAGCATAGAAATATCAACTGCTACTTGGTGTTGTCAGCCTTCTCCATGTTATCAAATAACAATTTCTTACTGTTGCTTCATTGTTTGCAGTGCTACACCCTGAGCTTGGCACAGATCCTTATGGAAGATGAACTTGTCATCAGAGAATGGTGGAGGGACATATGTTTCATCCACCACCAAGCTGCTGAAGCATGGCCTCCTGTTGGCATACGAAGAAGTGCAGCACTGGCCAACAGCAGCGTTTATAGGTGTCTCTCCATGCCTGATGCATAATTGGCCAATAATAACGTCCGCCTAGTTAGGAGAATGGGAAAAGAGAAAGCAAAGGGATTGAGCATTAGTCATAAAATTGATTCAGGTTTCCAGAAAATCATTGCAATAATTTTTAATGTATTATAGCTTAATTAGTATTATAAGAAAATGTGCTGTCTGTGTAGGATCATGTATTGCTACATTGTAGATTCCTGTTTACCCATTTATTTGGGATGAACCTCAGCATTTAGTGACAGATGTTCTATAGGTGATGTTGAAGATAGTCTCTTTAATTCTATTTTAGTTCTTTGAAAGATGATTCCAAAGGGGAAAACGTATCTTCCCTGACCTAAGAAATCAATCCATGGCTTACATTTTCCTTGTTATGTGGTTGAGTTCTCTATTTTACTTTTGGGACCAAAGAATCACCTTCTGAAGATAAGAATAGCACAAACTTAGTCACTGCGTGTGTGTGTGTGTGTGTGTGTGTGTGTGTGTGTGTGTGTGTAAGGCTTTCCTAATGTGGAATCCTCCTACCTTCCATACTTTGGAGCTATTTTGAAGCACTTACTAATAACTTGTATTAAGGGCCAACATACTTTTTGTGCACACTAGGTCTTAGGCTAGTCCTAATACAAGTGGGTTAGGCACATTACCTCGTGACAGCTGTCTTATGAGGATGGCATGATTTTTATTCTCCAATGCCAGATGAAGAAGCTCAAGCATAGTGAGGTAACTAGCTTCCCCCGTGTGAAATGACTAACAAGTGTTGAAAGTGGGAAAGGACTGTAGTTAGGAGCCCCCCAGAACACACTCTTGAACCATTGCACTATCCTACATTCCTGCATCCTCCCAACATATCCTATATAATAAAAGGCTAATATGCAAATAGACTGAACGGCAGAACAACCAGAACAACCAAACAACCGAACAACCAGTCACTATGACGTGTGCTGACTACCAAGGGGTGTGTGCAGAACATGGTGGGCAGCAGGATGGTGGAGCAGGTGAGCAGAAATGCCAGACCAAGGTGGGGCATCAGTTGCTGTTATTGGGGCGAGCCTCTGGTGGTTACTGAAAATTCTTTGCTCTCATGTACTGCAGTCTCACCCAGTGCTTGCACCTGCTGCTGACACCAGAGCTGCCACTCGCACCCACTGCCAGTGCCAACCCCACTCGCACCCACAGCTGGCACTGGTCCTGATCACTCGATGCCATCAGTGGCTACGAGCGGCGGCTGCTGGCCCTAATCGTCCCTGAGGGCTTTTACACCTCCCCCTGCTCCTGAGGGGTGATCAGGGCAGCAGCCACTGTTTACATCCACTGACAGCACCAGCCCCACTCACATCTACTGCTGGCACAGGCCCCAATCGCTCCACGCCTTCAGCGGGTGCGAGTGGGGTTGGCACCATCAGCAGTGGCAGCCGTGGTGGGAGCAGTGGCGGGAGTGGGGCTGCCAGCAGACAGGGGACCAGGGGCCGTGGTGGGAGGGACTGGGTGGGGGTGCGGAGAACGGGCCGAGACCTGCACCTGTGCCTACCACAGCCTCGCAGCCCACAGTAGTTTTCAAGGTACACAAATTCGTGCACTGGGCCCCAAGTGGAATTCAATAAAAAACTAAGATAATGCTTAATCACAAGAAATTCTCCTTTTCCTTCTAGTCTCTAGTGAAAAGTCCCAAGATATGAAGACTAATTGGTAAATCACTCCCCATCATTAAAAAGAGAAAAGGGGAAAAATTTGTATACAATTTTGGTCATAATTGTGACTTTAAAGGAAAAGATTTTTTAAAAAACCTGTAATCATATGTAGGACACTGGTGACATCAGTCATTTTACTACTGAGAACATGGGACTTACCATGTTCTGTACCCTACACCCAAAAGGGAACAACTTATTCCTAAAATCACAATACAATTATACTACAAATGATAAAAGTATAAGTATGGCTAAAAATAACATGACTAATTTTAATCAATCAAAAATGAAGCTTTTTTTTCTTTCTTTTCAACATTAAAGTAAATATTTAGTGAATAAAACAAGGAAGTCATGGAGTGAATGATGTGTTGGCCATTCTCTCCTCCCTTTATGAAAAGCTTGCTCAGACATTGTTGAATAAACCGGTTGCATTTCCACCCGCCATTCTAGAACAGGAAGCCTAGCCACATGCTAACTGATCAGAGTTGAGTTCTCACACCCCTTTCGACTAAATGAGTAAGTCTACTAAAGTCCCCTCTGCATTGGTTTCTACCATTTCCCCTGCATGGGAATTTTGAGGCCCTTTCAATCAAGCAGGGCAGACACCAGATGAGACTAGGCAAAACACTCACCGCTCCCTCACCACAGGCCAGTTGTTTCTCCTCACTGAGCCTGCAACAGGTGGCTGCTGCACTTGCCATTTTTCTGGTGTAGGTCATCAGCTCAGGAGGGGTCAGCTGAGGAGCTTTCTTTGTATAAGCAACAAGAAACCTGAAAGACATTTGTCACCAAATCCTGCTGAGTCATTCACGAGTCTTTGGACTTACTTCTTCTCCAAGACAATCTTTTGGTATCAGACGACATGAACGCAGCTCATTTTATCATCCACATGGTACTTGGACTAACTTTTGAGATTTGATTATTCTAACAACCACCCCTTATACTCCTGTTATACCAACGATCACAATGGGAAAGCAACCCCTGGGCAGAAGGTTGACTCCTATTCCCAACCTCAGAAGTTTCATTGATTTTAACTTTGATTTTTTGTGCTTTAACCAAGACAGACTTTGATAGAATAAATAGCTTTACAGCTTGATTTTGGGGAAACCAAAGTGAGTGCCACAGATCAGACTTCACAGGCCATGCATGTTGCTTCCTGAGCTAGGGAATGGGGAGGGCTGCCTTCTCCCAGGGGAAATTGGGTGCTCACATTATACTGACTCCCAATCTGAAATAGGAGCTGAAATTAGAGTCAGATGAGAGACTAATGTAGATGTATATTTCCCTCACCAGTTTGTAATTTTAAATCACCAAAAATACTGCTTTAAAAAAAAACATACGCATTTTGTAAGTAATATTCTCCTAGTTTCTGGAAGAGGCCACAGCTTCGCTTTGCCAATGCTTGGTTCTCCTGGATATATTTCTCTAATTCTTCTTCCTGAAAATACAAACATTATTTCATACATTTTTTTTTTCTCTTCCTGGACACACAACTTTGTATGTAAAAATTGACCAATAATATTTTATTCTATGATGATACCATCTTAGAGAAAGTAATTTTAGAGGGATTTTTAAAAAATATTAAAGATGGCAAAGTTTGAATTGTGAGAATTAAACAAAATGAACTTTGATAAGAGTAAGTTTAAAACTTTGTGAATCACCAAGTTATTTGATGACAGAATTCAATCTTTGGATAAAGGATTGCAGTTGTTTCTATACAAATTCTTGCCTTTCTGGAGCTGTTAAAAATGAATATTATTTTTATTCTGTGCATCAAAGAACTTATGGGTAACATTTTTATTTCCAAAGTAAGCCACTAGTTGTTGACAACTAGTTAATAACTACTTATTATCTAGATGACTAATTAATAGATATAACTAGCTAACCATTGGTTAATAACTAAATAATTTCAAACTAACAGCATTTTTAATGGATGATATCAATCCAGTATTTCATATTCTCCCTACAAAGCCAGAGCAATTTACCCCTTTATCCTGGCATTCAAGAGGGTTTTGGGACTGGGAACACTTCTCCAACAACTCCTGATATCCTTTAGCAACTCTTAGAATTACTGGGACAGCAAACTTAGTATGTCTTCTTGAATATTCATAAGTAAATCTGAAATATGTGTAAAAAAAACATGTTATTGGAATTAAGAGATAAATTCTTACTTTGTTATATGGCAAGCAGAAATTAAAATTCAAATAAATAAACATGGAGATCATATATAATTTAAACTTATCTGCATGACAAAACTATCAGTACAAATTATAATACCCCCATTTGTTTTAAAATGCTGTGTTTCATCTTCTTTTGCAACCTTAATTTTGGCTTTTTAATTGTGGACTTTACATTCATTTATTCAACAAATATTTTTCCAGTGCTGACTCTATGCAAGCATTGCTTTAAGTAGCAAATTTTCAGTAATGTATAAGATAAAATACCTGACTTCTCAAAAGCATACATTATAGGGGGCAGAAAAAAAATAAACAAGAAATGTATCATCTAATTTCCAGGGGTGATAAATCAATGAAGAGAAATAAAGGGAGTTAGGAGAGAGGAAAAGAGGTAACGCCTAAGTTAAAGTGTGTGGCCAAGAAAACTCCCTCTGGCAGCTCTTTCAGACCAGAAACCTGGGTGAAGGGAGCCACACAAGTATCTGGGGGAAGATCATTCTCGGCTGAGAAAATGTCTACTGCAAAGAACCTTTCCAATTGAAGAACTGCTTCAATTATATAAACAACAAGCTGTGGACATGCATGGGTGTGTAAATTTAAAGATAACTCTTGAGTTTACTAATTGCATTCCCAGATTATAGAAATGGGTTATATTAGTTCTGCTACCAATAAATTGTCAATATGGGTTCTTAAATCTCAGCTTTGTTCTTATTTTGCATAATTTTATTTAGCTGTGAAAACAATGTGTGAATGTCTAATTTTAATGTAAAAATAGAGTAATATCCTCGGGGAATATTAAAGAGAAACGATTGGGCCATTATTTTCATTACTACATTAGAAGCAGACTCTTAAATTTAGAAAGAACTTTGGAGGTCATTATGTGTAATGTCCTAAGAGCTGCACAAATTCCTCCTCTAATAGTGCCCATAGATATACACTGTACAATAAAGGAAAATCCCTAGACTGCTTGTTCCCTTAAGGCAAACAGAATGAGAATATGCCCCATCAATTACAACAAATTACTAGACTGCAAATGTCTCTAAAAACCTTTCTATTTTCTTACAAAAATAAAACATGAATTCAATAAAGCAAATAAACTGAAAAAAAATTCATTCAGCAAATAAACTGTCCCAATAAAATTCCTTTTACCTAGCATTAACTATTGCATTACATTGGGGGGGCGGGGGGGGCATAAAATATGCACAATGAAAAATCACATTCTGAATCATGAGCCCTTCTTTTAAAAAAAGGTCACATCTTATGTGGAAGTTCAAAGGTGATCTTCCTATGAGTAATCCATACAGGGATGACAATGCTTCAGATTCTAGAGAAATTCATACAAAATAAAATACAGCCTAAAAAGCAAGCATTTAATAATAGTAATGGTGAAAGTCCCATCAATATAAGATAGATTTCATTCCTTATTCCTTAGTTATCTGCTCATATATATATTTTGGCTAAGGACATTCTAGCATTATTCTCACATACCAAGCTAAAAATTCATGGCCTTCACTCCCCATTTCAACAACACAAAGCTGTCAGCTACATAATCTTTACTTGTGTGAATGTACATTGATAGAGTGTTTACCTTGCCATAAAGAGGTCTTTTTCCCTTGAAGAAAATTGGTTGAAATCTCTCTCTCCTAAAAACCTATTTAGAGTTGGAGATAAACCTTCAGGTTTGTCATCATTTTCTGCATGAATTATGCATTGACCAAGTTCAAGTGTGGGCAATTTGCAGCATTCTGCTATTTTGCTTGACAGAGTATCTTGTTGAGAACATATGTAGAACATAATTTTTTCCTGTGATAGGAAAAATAAAGTATACATTTTAAGGTTTAATGCATAACCTCAGGGCCAGTTTCAGGGAGGGAGGGAGGGAGGGAGGGAGGGAGGGAGGGAGGGAGGGAGGGAGGAGAGAAGGAGGGAGGGAGGGAGGGAGGGAGGAAGGAAGGAAGGAAGGAAGGAAGGAAGGAAGGAAGGAAGGAAGGAAGGAAGGGAAGGAAAGGAAAGGAAGGATAATAAAAGTAAGGAAAGAAGAAGACATTTTACCTTGTCTCCTATTTTAGTGCTTTCTCCCAATGTTGCCTTTCCTCACTCCTTTCTACCCCTATTTATTCAAGTTTTTTGATAATGGTCCCCTAAAACCTACTCATTTATTTTAATGTGAATCTTTTAAAAACAAAATATAAACGTACTCCTCAAACCAAATGACGTTCACATTTATGTATATCTTTCTATTAATGGTGAAATTTGCTGCTAAATACATTTGCTGTTGATATAACATGGAGGGCAAACATTCTGCTCTATCTTTAACAAAACAATCTGCAGTGACCCATAATGACCTCCAGAGGGCAGTATATCAATAATGAAATAGTTCACCTAAGTGGCCAGAAAGCAATAGAATGTACACATTCACCTGACAGGACTGAACATTCTGTGCATTCTCAGAAGGGACGATTAGAACCCATTATTCAGTCAGTAAAATCCAAGTTACATGCTATATTGAACTTAATGTTTCTACTTAAAAAAAAAGTGGTTATGAGTTCCAGAAAATTTAAAAACTAATTTTTAAATGACTATACAAAGTAATAAAATTGTCAATTAAAACTGACCTCAAAGAAAAACAAAATTGTTCTCATTTACTGTCCCTTATCTGCATGTAAATAATTCTAAAAGGAAAAGTCAATAAAATAAGAAAGTCTGTCTTGGTGGCAGCCCCCTCTCAGTTCATCTTCCCCCCACTCCTTACACCAGGGTCTCTGCCTGTGCTCAAAGACTGTCACTCTCCCTGCAGTTGTGACTCCTTGCTGACTTCCAAGACTAGCTCAGCCAAATCGCCAGTGAAATGAACATTTTACCCTCACTTTCCACCTTCTGAAAACCATGTTTAAGCCCCCTTGGAGAAGAAGGTATATCATAGGGACCAGAGAGAGAGTGATTTGGGAATAGACAGGCCTCTTGTACAATATCTAGGAAGCCTAGGGTTGGTCAAAATAGGCCAATGCCACACTGCTCAAATTGTGACTGATATGGCATTCTCCACGGATTCTGCTGCTGGGGTGGTTTGGTCTTGGTTTTTAATTTTCCTAGAACCCTTCATTTGCACCTCTCTTTGGAATGGCTATAGCTTTACCTTATAGAATAGTTTCTGTGTTACTTTGTTGTACTCATATGCTAAATATATCCTATATAATAAAAGGGAAATATGCAAATTGACTCTAACAATGGAACGACTGGTCGCCATGATGGGCACTGACCACCAGGGGGCAGATGCTCAACACAGGAGTTGCCCTGTGGTGGTCAGTGTGCTTCCACAGGGGGAGCGCCGCTCAGCCAGAAGCCGACTCATGGCTGGTCAGCACAGCGGTGGTGGCGAGAGCCTCTCCCACCTCAGCAGCAGTGCTAAGGATGTCTGACTAATGGCTTAGGCCTACTCCCCAGTCGCATATCCCCTGGGGGCTCCTGGACTGCAAGAGGGTGCAGACTGGGCTGAGGGATCCCCTCCCCGCCCCCCCCCACCCCCCCCCCCCCCAGTGCACGAATTTTTGTGTACCAGGCCTCTAGTTAATATATAATAGAGTGCCTCCCAGGTGCCAGGCATTGTGCTGGCAGCCTATGGAGATAACAATAAACAAAAGACAATGCCTACCCCAAGGAGGTCATCTGTCTTAGCTCTCCTATCAGCCTATAAATGCCTTGAGGTCAGCATGTGCATGGATGACAAATGTCCTTTACAGTGGCTATTGCATAGGAATTATTTAATATGTCTTTGTCAAATGAAAAAACAAATGGATGAAAACCAAATACATTAAAAGTAAAGAGTCTGTGCCTCCCCCACCCCCCACCCCAACCACCACCACCACCAAATCTGATGTGAGGCCTTCTGAGATGGTTCCATCTCCTTCAGGAATAAGAATGAATGGGTAGTGAACTCACAAGAGGAGAACATCCCTTAAGTGAAAGGCAGGATCAACAAAAGACCGTTTGCTTCACTAGCACCAAGTGTAACTTCACTGAGTCAGCTAGCTACCCTCGCCTGTGACCAGCTCAAGTCAGACCGCCTTCTCCCGTTTAGAATGATAGCAAAAGAAAGAAAAGGGAGTGGAAATATGTCTTTTTCTTTAGGAAGCAAGACTCCTCACCGCATCCTGCAGACACTCCAGCACGTTGCCTCTGCAGCATTCCTCGTGCGTGAGAGCCACATCTAGGACCAGTTTCTGAATTTCAGTAAAATTAGTCTGGGGAAACTTTTGACTCAATTTTGTAATGGTTCTAACGAGAGAGAGAAAAAGAATTTGAAATAAATCTTGGTTATTTATCAAAATTAAATAACATTTATCAAGTGGAAATATAATTTCATTTCCAAAGACAAAGAATTGAAATGTCCTTGTTGTTTCAAGAGGGACAGAAAAGTGTGACAAGTCTTGTTGGTTGCAGCAGTTTCTCAAGGGAGTGGCTCTGTAATTATGACCTGGTCCCACAAAGGGTTTAGAAGTGACTTGTCTTTACCTAAAACGCTTCCTGGGAATTGCGATGAAACCTACCTTTTTGCTGTTCATCCTTGATGCTGAGCACTTAGGAACAGTGTAGTGAGTGGGATGAAAAAATTAAAAAAGGATAAACAAGTAAGAAATGGAAAATTCAATGAGAATGACAATCATTTTTTACTTGGGAGGAAAAAATAATAATTCTGAGAATACAGGGAGGGGTCTGTATGTGTAAATAAATAAAATGGAACAAGAAAATGGAGAAGAATAAGCATTCAGATGTGTCATCATACCAAGTCATGTAGAGTGGCCCAAAAGGGAGGTGAGACATAAAAATATTTTTCCTCCTGCATTTCATTAAATTTAAGAGATATCTAGGTGAAACCCCTACTCCCTAGAGCAGCTGGTGATGCTACTACTGATGAAGATAATTTTTCTTCATAAATTCACAATATTTAAATTTAATCACTTATGAGTATCAAGTAATAAAGTCATTATAAAAATATCTAATTTATAGTTATTACTAAGATAAATTTAAGTAAACCAGTTAATGAATCAACCTTTAAATTTCTAATAGGATGAGAGGGTAAAACGTAAATTTAACCTCTCCCAAGAAAAAATTTCAGTCAATCTTGGACCTAACTCCATGACTAAACACTTTAATCTAGGCTTCTATTGTGTGCAATATTCTCAAATGTGTAATTTACAAGCAAATAAGCAAAAAATATATAATGTGAATGCATATAATTAATACTTTTTGATTAGCAGCTCAGATGTTTCCTATACTAGGAATATTTTATCATAAAATTTGAAGAATATTTTAACCAGTGTGTAATTTAAAAACGTTTAGCAGTTGCATTGAAAAGTAAAATAAAACAGGTTAAATTCACTTTAATAATATATTTTAACACCACACATCAAAAATATTATTTTAATACAGAGAACAGGTTGATGGTTGCCAGAGGGGAGCAGGTGTTGGGGGCTGGGGTAAAAAAAGATGAAGGGATTAAAAAGTACAAATTAATAGTTACAACATAGTCACATGGACATGAAGTACAGCATAAAGATTATAGGCAATAATATTGTATTAACTATCTATGGTGCCAGTTGGGTACTGGAAATAGCCAGGGAATCACTTTGTAAAATATATGATTGTCTAACCACTATGCTGTACACCTGAAACTAATACAAAATAATATTGAATGTAAAATTTTTAAAATATACATTATCTTAATGTGTAATCAACATTAAAACCTACTAATGATATATTGTACATCTTCTTCTTCAAACAAAGTTTTTGGAATCTGGTGTATATTTTGCACTTAGAGCCCAGTTTCCCATTTTCACTAGTGACCTTTCAAATGCTCAGTAGCTACATGAGGCCAGTGGCTGCCATATTTGATAGCAAGCTCAAAACCATTGGTAGTTCTGATTTTATATTTGATTTCAATGTCTCATTGTCAGAATATAGAAAATTAAAGATCACTGATGTAGTAGACAAATAGGTATAACTAAATAAAATAAATCATGACAGGACATAGAAAACTGGCTTCTGATGTCCAGCAATGCTCTTGGATAAAGTGCTTTAATTCCTGTGGCCTTCAAGTTACTCATGTGTAAAATGAAGAGGTTGGATTAGATGATTTAACTGGATTTATATTATATTCCTCTTCATTGTAACAACAAAGATAAAAGAAATGAAATAGAAGTTAGATGGGTGGGTGAAAAGATTATATAGATGATAGATGATAGATAGATGATAGATAGATAGATAGATAGATAGATAGATAGATAGATAGATAGATAGATAGTAAATAGAATATCCTATATAATAAAAGCTTAATATGCTAAGTGGCTAGTCGTCTGGTTGTTCATTCAACCAATTAAAGCATCATATGCTAATGATATGCTTAAGGCTACTCAACCACTTGCTATGACATACACTGACCACCAGGGAGCAGACAGTCAAACAGCCACTACGACGTGCACTGACTACCAAGGGGCAGAAGCTCCAACCAGTAGGTTAGCTTGCTGCTGGTGTCTGGCCAATCAGGACTGAGTGAGATGGGCTGGACACAACCCTGGAGCCCTGTCACAGTCCCTCCTTGGCTGGCCAACTTCCACGTCTCTCCCCAGCCCTCATTATGCACTGGTGGGGTCCCTCAGCCTGGCCTATGCCCTATCACAATCTGGGACCTCTTGGGGGATGCCAGAGAGCTGGTTTCAACCCAATCCCACAGGCCAGGTGAGGGTGCATGAATTCGTGCACCAAACTTCTAGTAGATAGATATAACAGACTGATAGACAGATAATGACAATTTACAAAGGGAGAAGGCAAATATGCTAAGTGTAAGAGTTAATATGGCCAATTGAAAAATTCCAAATTTACCTTTGAGCTTTTTAGCAGCTAAGACAAGAACACAAACTTCAGTGAGTAACATTGCTTTCATTAGCTAGAATACATCCTAGTTCTTCACACATGACAATTTGTTTTTCTCCTGTGACTAGATTCTAATATTATTGACTCAAGTGAATGTTTTCATGGGAAGCAGCAATTGACATAATGGAATTTAAAGCAGACTAGGAAGCAAAATTAATATAAAAAACTTGTACTTAAGCCAACAATATTAAATGACACATCAGTGAAGACTAACCTATTTTGAAGAGAATCTAGAAAAACAGCCTATGAGGTATAATTTGATTACAGCCCAGGAATGTAAGAGTATCTAGAATATATCAGCAGTATAAGTCTTAGATGCCCTCTTTAAGTATTTTCTCATCTAGATTAATAAATGTGAAATAGCAAATTGATCTATTAGCTTCCTCCCAATCCTAAGATTTCATGCTTCTTAATCACATGAGCTCTCATCAAAGGAAACTGCTCACTACAACAGTGACAAAGAGAAAATGAACTTAAATTACAAAATGGTAGTTCTGCAGACCTCACCTTGTTCGCTAGATAGAACTTTAACTTACATGGCTCCGAAGGTTCGGGGTCCAAAATTTCTCATTACCGCACATACATGTTGATTTAACAAGCTGTTTTCTCTTAATTCTTTTGTAATTGATGCTGCCTAAAATTCAAAGAAACAAAGCACCAAGAAAGCATGTATTTTCTATTACAGCCTCTAATAATTTCCAAAACAACAGATATAGGTAAACTGTGAAATTCTATAAAATAAATTTTTCTCTAAAAATTATAAATACAATACATTTTTGTAGAACTGTATTTATTTATTCATTATTTTAAGTTGGTTTATGTGCATCTATGCCACATAGATATTTTTAAAATACCTTAAAATAAAAATCTTATGACTTTCATATTTGGGATAATGAATAAACAACTGTAAGACAGATTGAAACCTGATAATTTATTAAATGTCTGCTCAGTCACAAAAAAAATAAGATTGTATCACAGCCTGACATTCTGGAAATAGTCCTCATTCTTTGCAAATTTTTGTTGTAGGGCTTCTGGTGGCAAGTAATTAATTGTGGGTATTATTCTAGCTCTCTAAACGGATGAAAGCTATTTGCTTCTCTCAACCTAAGTTGTCTTGATTGTTAAATAACAATAACAACATGAGTTTTAACTGTGCAGGTCAACTTAAATGTGGATATTGTCAATAAATACCTGTACTATTTGTTATCTGTGGTTAGGAGTCCACGAATGTGGAGTGCTGATGGTATGCATTGATCTAGGCCATTTTACATAAGGAACACCTAACCCTTACATTGTTCAACGGTCAACTGGGTCAACTGCACTTACACCTCAAATTTGTTCTAAGGATTAAAAGAAATAATGAATGTAAAGCATTTATCATAGTTTTCTTTTCACTATTTTGTCTCTTCTTCTGTTCCTCTACTATTCTATCCTCTTTTACTTTTTTCTTTTACCTCTCTCTCATTTATCATCTCTACATTTGTCTTTCTTCATTCCCACCAGACTCACTTCCTTAATAATAAAATAATTTTGGCTGAATGAAAGAATAAGTGAATGAATAAAAACAAAGCAAATTCAGGTTTTATAGCCCAAAGAGTATCAAACTGCTAAAATATGTTCTATTCTGGAAATGATATTCTATACAGAGCATATTTCCATTTTTAACTTTGGTTTTAATGAGTCATAGCCAGATGAAAGTAATGGTTCAGATATTCACACAAATATAATACCTTTGTTTGGAAGCATTCTATTGCATTTTCAGCTTTGCAACAAAGTGGAATTATTTTGTCATAATGAGCAGCCAAAGAAAGAAGTATAGGTGCATACAGGAAGGGATGCCTCCTTGCTATCTCATAGATGTATCTGTGAAATGAAATAGAACTATAAGATTTACAAGCACATAAAATAAGGCCACTACTGCTTGGAAGTGGACTCTGGAATATGTTTAAAAATACAGAAAACCAACATACTTTTTGTCCATGTGCTATGAAAAATTTTTCTCACTAAAAATCCCCAGGGGGAAAAATTAGACAACAGATACCATATTCTAATATGAGAACAAAATAGGCGGAGATGCTGACTAAGCTTCTTATTAAAGTGTCCTTTTCAGTCAGTCTACTCAAGGGTCAGCAAGGCCCGACAACCACCGAGTAAAACAGAATGGTAGGTGTGTTTTTCCTCCTCAGTGCAGAATTGAATTATCTCTCTTGTCAGTCTCCAGAGCAGATTTATTCTAAGGGCAGTCCCCCTAGTTTTCTGGTTTAGGTAGCCACATAGGAGAATACCAGTGATTAAGGGTTAGATAACAGGCTTTCTTAACATAGAACCTGGGTTCAAATCCCAGGTTGGGGATATACTAGCAATGTGTTCTCGGCCAATTTCTTTAATCTTCTACACTTCAATCTCCTCATCTGCAAAATGGAAAGAGGAAGGAAAATGAAGAGAAAAAAGGACAAAAAGACATCACGGGCTTCTGTGAGCATAAATCTGATCATATGCGGCAAGAACACATGTTCTTGTAACGTTTGTGCACAACAAATGTTAGCCATCTTTGTGTATCTTACATGTTCCTGGATCACATTTCTTTATTTAAAGGACATTTGTTCAAAACACCAAATATTTGACTCAGAAGAAGTCCTTTTGTGAGGTACTAATGCATCCTTGGGCAAACTGAAATGGAGGAGTAGAAGGGAAAAAACAAGATGTATCCCAAGAGGCCACAGGAGCACTGGAGGGTCTGCTGTGTGGTCGCTGCAGCATCCCTCTGGCATGCTGTGGAAAGAGAGGAGCGCTGAAAGCTGCTCACCGAACTTCCCAGTGCAGGGCCCAGTGCTTCTACTTCTCCGTGTTTGAGAGTGCAACTGTCATTTGCAGAAATACTAGATTCTGCTTGGGACTGCTCCCTTTCTGGGGTTTTCATCTACCTCTGCCTTGGATCCTTACCGGTTCATGAACGCCTCCCTGTTTTCTTTATATTCTTTACAACCCGTGACAGGTTCTGGAAGCTGGAAAGGTGGGATGGATGCTGGAGAGGCCTTTTTATGTGCGAGAAAACAGTTATGTCTTTCTTCTTCACGTTGGCTGCAGCAGTCTGAAAGTCCATACTTTTCAGAAATTTCCTTCTCGTGGCAAATTTCTTCCAGAAAGGCAGGGAGCTAAAAGAAAGATTTCTTTTTAATAAAAGACAACTGACTTTACTTTTAAAATCTGGAAAACACATTAAAATTTTTCCAATATCCAAAATCGGAACTATAGATTAAGGAAATAATTCCCCATACAAATTCCCATATATGTAGTTTTTTTGTGTGTTTTTTCTATCACCATTTATCCCCTCTTCCACCTCTACCCACTCCCTTCTCCCCCACAATCACCACACTGGATCTTATTTTTAGGCCAAAAAAAATATTCTGAAATGGAACAAAAATAACTTCGAACATTTTCATGGGGCATAATTACAGATTTACCCAAAATATTTTAAAATGTACATTTTAAGTCCTTAAAATCCTTTTGTGTTGCCTTAACTTTACCAGGGTCAGATGATGCCACCAATATTCTGAAGAATGACACTGAGGAATCCTGTGTTTCATTCATTTCAGGGAACTTTTAATTTAGCTTTCAGAGCTGCTAACATTTAGAGAATTGGGGATATCTTAAGTATGTCTTCCAGTACCTAAGCTACATAAAAATCATGCCTTTAACTTTATAAAGATAAATTGCCAATCTGTGAAATTATGCTGAATCTCTCCTCTGAGATAGTTGCAATATGAAATGTATGATGTTGAATTTATACACATCCTTAAAAGATTATCAGGACAAGCCAGACATAGAGATGCAAAACAGGGGTCTTTATTAAAACATCAAATTCTTATTAAAAAGTGCTTTATATCTTTAAAAGGGCATCTCCTCTAAATATTCCAAGCACATTGTCTTTTGGCCACTTCACCAACCCACATGACGAAGGATTCTCTGGGCATTTTGCTCCATAATTAGGGTTGCTCTAATCACTATCAAGTTCTTTTCTATATTGAAATAAAGTAACAATAACTATTATTTATTGATCTTCCACATTAGAATACCCTTATTCTAGAAAGAGTATTCATTATTTACCTGAAATTCAAATGTAAGTGGGCTTCAAGTTTTGTTATTGCTGTTTGCTAGGTAACCCTATGAGCTGTGCATCTCGCACTCACTGCAGGGCAGGGTACAGTGTAGTGAAGCTTCCAGGGGTATCAGTGCTGCAGCCACATGGCCTCGTTGAAATCCAGGTTGGATCTGGGCTCCCTTAAGCAAGTTACTGAGCCGCTCTATGACTCGGCTTCCTCAACTGGAAGACTAGCATCTATCCTTTGGATTATCATAAAGATTTAATCAATTTATATTTGCAAGCAAAGCTGATATTCTGCCAATAAGCCCCAGCCAGGGTCTCTTGGCTCACTGGACAGCCATTCTGATTCATCGGTGCTATGTTCTATGTCATAAAATATTTTGAGCATCAATATGTATGTAACTCCGTGCTTAATAAAAATTAATTCTATTACTAATATTATATCAATTTCCATGATAATCCTGAAATGGAAGCTATTATTATTCCTTATTTTATAGATAAGGAAACTAAAGGTTAAAGAAGTTAAGAAATATGCCTATGATCACCCAGATACTCTTATATCAGAACATTAGCTCCTAATCACCAGGCTTATATTGTCTCTTTATAATAGTCACTCATTGTTTTCTCTTCTACCCTCTTTAGCAATTCAGAATTAATCTAATGCCTCTTTCACACAATAATTCTTCAAATATTTAAATGTGTTTCTTATGCTATCCCTGTATCTTCTCTTCTGCATGTTAAATTTTGGTCAAATTTAATTTGGTCAAATAATAATAATTATTGTTATTATTAGTAGTAGTAGTAGTATTCACTCACCTGGTTTTCTAGACACCCTGCAGGCTGTTCATTGCCAGTGGGTTTCCCAATTACAGGCAATACATCTTTTACCATTTTGTTTACTTCCTGATAAGTGGCTTCTTGAACAAACTGGGCAAAAAATATGGTAGCTCTGAAACAAAAATACACATGAATGCTTAAGAAGCACATTATATCAAGCTTCTTTCTCTAAAGTTTAGTTTTTACTTGTTTTTGTTTCTGTTATGTTATGACCTATTTAGGGGGTAACCTTTGTTAAACATTCATGTGAAATTAAGTTCTAGCCATCCAGGAAAAAAGTAATCATTCTTCTTGTCCTCATTCCCCATAAATAAACACATATCTGTTAAAATCAAAATAAGTGAGTTTTCTATAAGAGTAGTTCCTCCTGCACACCCCCACTGGAGATCGAGCCCGCAACCTGGGCATATACCCTGACCAGGAATCGAACCAGGGACCTCTTGTTTCCTGGGTCGATGCTCAACCGCTGAGCTACACCAGGCTAGGCTATGCTTTTATGTTTAAAAAAATCATAGAACTACCCAATTTTATTTAATTACTTAACTAAAATTATCATTGCTTTGCACGCTTAAAGTGGATCTACACAAGCAAAACTTACAGGTCAGCTAAATTCACCTCTGCAGAGCATTGGGAAGAATCCAGTATGGAAGCTGGAAAGCAAAATAAACTTCATGAAAAATGGTGTTTTCATTTGCAACCAGAAAAGTAATCATTATCACATGTAAATGTTTGTATTTAAGTTAAAGGTAAACAATTTTAGAAATAAGAAGACATTAAGGATCATCTATCCAAACATCTTAATTTTGTACTTAAGAAAACTAAGAAACAAAGTTAAGAATGATTTATAGTAGACTTAACACTAAAAATCCGTATTTTATATCTTCTAATTATTTGTTTCTCCCCTGTACTGTGATGCTCTAACAGGCTTGGAAATAAAGTGATTATAATTATTAATTTTCATCATCCTTTTGAACATATTTACACCATAGTTTGCTTGCCCATTTGTATCCCAGTCACATTGTTTCTTCTTCAGCTAAATAACCCATTTTTTTCTAAAATAAAGAATAAAAATGTTACTTATATTACTTATTTTACCAGTCTGAGGGATTTTGCATGTAATAGAGCCAGGATTATGGTCTGATATATATATCAGACCATAATATATATATATATGTGTATATATATATATATATCAAAGTAAATAGGTATATCAATTGAATAAATACTGTACAAAAATGAATTCAACATGAAGAATACAAAGCATTCACAGATATTAAGCACTGCCATAATTTTGTAAACCTCTTGTAAAGTTACAAATTTATCATGCTTTTAATAATATTCACCAATTAAATATTTCCCCTGTGTAGAACAGTAAGGGTGATGAATAAATTAAGATAAATGAATCAATTCAAATTTAAGAATTTTAATATAGAGAAAAGACATAAAAGTAAAACAAAATATCTTACCTATTCCATATGCATTGTTATGCGTTGTTCTGGATTCAGTAGCATTTAGTAGGAAAATTAAAAGAATTGATACCACCCACTTCATGGTTATTAGTTATTTCGTTGTTGTTGGCAAAGGTCAGGCAAGAATACTGAAAATCATGCTGAAATTCTTTTATACCCTTCTCAAGCACTGCCTGTTAACTAGTAATCTTTTATTGGTGTATCTGTTACTTTATTTCCTTAGGTTGAAATGGACCACTTGCCAATAATTAACAGCACAGGGATTATTTGTATTTAATGTTCAAGGACACAGGCCTCTTTTGGGTGGAAAAAGAAAAAAGCAACTTGAAAATTCATCCCATGTTGAAAATATAACAAATATTCTTTTCAAACTATATAATATTCAAAGAGATTATTTTTCCCTAAATTGTACAATAATTAATTCCTTTCAAATTAAAAAATGAATGAAACTATAAAGAAAAGAAACCAAACTTTGTATGAAATTCAACTAAATCCATCAATTCATTAAAAAATATTAATTGAATGCCTATCACATGCCATGCTCTGGACACAATGACCAACTCAGGCTTTCTCTGAAGAACCATTGATTAATTATTATGTTGCTGTTTAGCTCAAAATTCCATTTCACCTGATTCATATGCCAATAAGGTCCATTTTTAAAGTATTTGGCATACTGTGTATGGCTTGACATAAAAAGCTTAGAGAGCAAACCAAGTCCTATCATCATTTTATTTGTTAAAAATAATTTTGTATGTGTGTCAAACTTTGAAGTGGGTTCATTTAGCAACTCAAGATAATTATGTTAGTACACAATAAAGTGCACTTACAAATGCCACCTGATTCTAAGAGTTCATCTCAAATCTTCCTTGTCTATGAGGGCTGCACATTAAAATCACTAGAGTAACTACTAAAATTATCAGTGCCTAGACTGTACCCCAGACAAATTAAATCAGAATCTTTTGGAGTTGGGACCCACACAGTAGTTTTTTCTAAAGCTTCACAGATGATTCACTATTCTACAGTTAATATTTAAAAATCAAATCAGCTCTGGTAGGAAATAAGCAGGATACATTCATAAGGTGGAATAATATGCAGCCTAAAATAATTTTGTGAAATAATATTTGATGATATGGAAATATGCTCAAGGCTGGATAATCCAGTCTCATTATTCATCAAAAGATTTGAGGGGACATATGTAAAAATCCTGGCAAATAATAGGACTTTATAAAATTTTTATTATTTCAATATTATAGATATAGATATAAATAGACACATAGTTATAAATAATATGTGCACATTAAGCTAGAGGTGTGCTGTGACAGTTACCAGTCTCATTCATCAGGACCCTGATAAGACTAAACGAGGAGTAACAGCTTCACTGTCAGTCCAGGATTTTGTTTTGTTTTGTTTTGGATCTTTCCTCTGATACTGTGCTGGTTTTGTGTCTTCCTTTAATCTCCTTCCATGTTCTCCCTCACCAAGCCGAATTCTGCCATTTTTCACCATATGATCAGAATGGCAGTGCAGTTTCATGGTTAAACATGTGGGCTCAGGACCAGGTCTGAATTTTTGCCCCATCACTTATTGCTGCATGACTTTGGATGAGTTATTTAAATTTCTCTGGGCCTTTTTTTATCATCCATAAAATAAGGATGGTGATGGACCTCTTTCATGAATGACTGGGGATTAAATAAATTAATGAGCATAAGAGGCTCAGAAGAGGGCCTCGCGCAGAGTAGCACATCGTAGATGGGAGTTTTATTTATTCACTTAAGAAGAACATGAAGTCTGCATACCCAGCACTGAAATTGGATTAGAATAATCAGTAACAAGAAGTAGGCACCATCCCACTCTTGCTACATTGAGTATCTCATGGGAGAAACAGACAGTTATGTCAGCAATCACAGAACAGTGTGATGGATGCAATGGTAAAAAGAGTGAAAAAAGAAACACCTGACATCTTTAGAGGGTGTCAGGTAAGTCTTCCTGGAATAAGTAACATTGTATTGGACATCTGAAGAAAAACCGGAGGTGAGCCAAATAAAGAGGGAGGGAAACATGTCCAGGCAAATGTAGAAAATCGTGGAAACATCCCCTGGTGAGGGCAAGCATGGTGTATATAAAGACATGGATTTTCAATAAAGTACAAAGCTTAAAGATGAGAAAATTTATTCCATGAAGGACATTTTCTGCAAAGCTGGCAGGGGTCACATCCCAAAGACCTTTTAAATCAAATTACACCTCATCCTAAGATAATACAAAAGAAAGCCAATGAAAAATCATGTGTGTGCTTTGAGGCCATCTCTCTTGGTATAGAGGGGTACAAGATTGTGATAAGGATATAAGTTAGGAAGTTTTTGCAATAATGATCCAGTAAGTGGCCTGAATGAGACTAGTGCTAATGGGAAATGAGAGCTATGGATGAAGTTAAGTGGTATGAATGAGATAAAACCAGAAGAACTTAATGAATACGTGCTGTTTTGGATATATGTATTGAGCTCAAGACAGAGTGGCCAATTTACTCAAACAGAACTGGTTTGTGTCTGTTGACTTAGAGTAATTATTAAGCAAAACACCCTGGTTTGTGTGTTGAAGTATCTTTAAGACCTTGAAGTCGAGAAGTTGACCGGCAGTTGAGTAGCAATTCTTACCCTCTCACACAAGACTGAGGCTGGAAATAGAGATTCAGAGATCGTCATCTTGTGGAAGGTTATTGCAGCCATGTGATTAAGAAGAAAGAGAGATTGTAGAGAACATAGGCACTTGAAGGAACACCAAATTTTAAGAGACAGCAATAAAGAAGATCTTCAAACCAGAGTTTTTTCTACGAACTGCAAACACACTTTGATCTATATGTCATTGCTCAAAGTTTGATCTAAGTACATAGTGCACATCAAATGCTTTTCCATTTCCTGAATTCTGATTCTGTTTACTTTTTCATCAATATGTGAAACAGCTCAGAAGCAGCAAAGCACAGTAAACTGGACTTTGGTATCAGGCAGATTCTAATCCTGGCTTTGTCAATTATTAGCCATATAACATTAGGCAAATAATTTAATCTCTCTGATTCTTAGTTTTCTCATATATATAATGAAAACGATATTTCGCTTGAAGTTTGGTGTTTTTTTTTTTATGTATAGATGGAGTAATGCCTTTAAAGTATCTGCTACCTAGGAGACAATTTAAAAAGATAACACTTGCTTTCATGGTTAGCATTGTATTCATGATAAATATTATATGTACTTTTCTTCGTAGCAGGTAAGCTATGCATGTGATTGCTAGAAAATGACTTCTGTTCAAACAATACTGGACTATGTATTCTTCCTGGGATCCATTTTGTTATTTGTTTGTTGGCTTGAACAGTTGGTTGTTTTACCATGGTACTTCTCATTTGGCCTTATAGCAGTCATTTGTAAGTTATGCAATTCTTCCAAGATCGGTGACTTGTTGGATTAAAGGATTCATCTTTGTGAGTCCTGTGGTACCTAGCGCAATGTCTGGCACAAAGCAGAATCTTTATAGTAGAAAATGAATAGCCCTGAATCAGATTGTTGTAGTCAGGATCACTAATTGCCCCACTAATTCATATTATACAAATACCCTACTTACCACAGAGCATTACTGAAATCTTTTTCCCCTCTGCATTTATAATTTTCTCTGACATTCAGGGTCTAGAGGCCCTGGGACAGATCTGAGAAGAGGACAGTGCCTGGTGGTGGGGCGGGGGGGGGAGGACAGCTGATGAGTCTTGTAGAGCTTAAAGTTGTAGAGCTTAAAACAAAATCCATCAATTAGATATAATTCACATTCTAGCAGGATGAAAGTACCCAGAGTCCTTCAGCCCAATAGGGTCTTCTTGTCCCTTTAGATTTAGTCCCTTTTCCTCCATGCTGATCCCACGTACAGAGAGCAACCAGAATTATCACCACCATCCTCCCCAGATTTCTAAGGATTCAGGAGTCATGGAGGACTGCTTGCCTTTATCCTTGATAACTCTGGCTCTTACTTCCTGGTACTGCTAAAGTCTATCTTTACCTATGCTTTATATTCTCTCCTATACATACTCCTTCTTTGTCCTCAACCCTACATTGGTTACCTCTCAATCACTTTTTCAAAGAACCCCAACACTAGTTTGTAGCAAGGAACTTGAAATCAAACATGAAAGAGCCTTTCATCTTGTATCAACACCACCTGATTTTTCTTCTCTTGTTGAGCCCTGACCAACCTCCTTTCTTGGTCCCTCCCCCTCCTTCTTTCTTATCTTTTCTCATCTAGCCTTGGCTTCTACATTCCCTTTCTACATTAATGATGTCCTCTGGATTTATGCAACACCAGCATGGGCCAATGTGAATTACATTAATTTGGCAATTAAGATTTTGAATAATGAGTAGAAAAGCAACAATTACATACTTGTTTATTGTCCAATATGTGCACATGATGATTCTTCCTAATGTCCAGGCACCATATCTTTCCATTCAGGTGCAGGTTCTATCTCTTGTTGGTACTACCTTCTTTATTGTCAAGTGCATCTCATTCCTGGCTAATTTTGAATATGCTATCTCAAGAAAAAGGTAGCAGTGCTGTGATTCCTTGAAGATTGTTTGTATTAAAACAAATAAATATTCTTGCCTTGATCATTCTCTTTTATTACATATTTAATATTTGTCTTATCATTATTCATAATGATGCATCCTCCATATCACTGTGAATTCTAGCTCCCAAAGACTCCTTTAATTATCACTGTGTTTCATTGATGATAACCACAAATGCAAGGTCACCTTAAATTTACTATTATGCCTTTCTTAGCACAAATACATCTTCCAACAATTTTTTCTTCCTGAACTCTTAGGCCATAATGACTTCATTTTTAGAATGTGATCTCTGTCCATGTTAACTGCACCCCAGACTTCCACATACAGAGAGGATAGGTGAGGGGCCTGTGGTGAAGCAAGAAGAGTGACCCATTCCTATGAGGCATGTTTGGAAGAGCTCAAGGCCAACTCAGGGGCGCATAAAACAACCACACTGACAGAGGCAAGAGAGGACTTCAACTGGAAGGGCCCAGGGGCATTACAGAGCAATGACCTTCAAAGCCCTCAAAAGTGATAGACATGCCCACCCATGAAAACTGCATGACACTTGATGGGAAGTTTGTGAAGGACTTGCAGTG